ATTAGTGAGCGTGGTGCAGACATTGTTTTGGTTGTTTTGCGAGCGAGAGCAGAGGGTGCAGCAGATAATCGGCGAAAGTGAGCGAGTGGTACGCACATTGGAAAACGTGCGCGGTTGGAGTCGCCTCAACAGCAACAACCACAGCAGCAGCACCAACAGCAACAGCAATAACAGCGGAAGTGCAGCGAGCGGCGGAGCAGCTAATTAGCGACTCGTGCGTCGGATACGGTTGGCCACCGTATCCCCATCAGTCTTGCGGTAGGTGCACCATCCCCTATTTTGTTGTTAGCGTGCGATCCCGCGCAGCGTGCGCGAAGAGTTTATTTATTGCGTGCGAGCGGTTAGTTCGCGGCGATCGTGGTTTTCTCTCTCTCTCCATCCGTTTACCTTGTCAACTGTATTTGCGTGCGTAAGTCTCTCGGCATATTCCCCGTGTATCAGCTTTAATCCAATAAAGCGAATGGTAGTTATTGCTAAATCGAATCATTATTTTGTCTTTCCTTTGTCTGGAGTTCGGGTTTGTTGACGTTCGATTTAAATAAGCCGGTAGCGTAGCACGTATCACGCGGACATCGGTAGAAGCGAATCGCCAACCTAGTTTCCAGCAGCAGCCGCAGGAGCGCTGCTAAGCAGGAGCGACAGCGCCGCCAAGTGGCGAGTTGGGGAACCCAACTCCGATTGGCGAGGAGACTCTGCGCAGGCGCACTCCCTGACAAGGTAGGTTGACGTGCTTTCGGTACGTAGATAACAAGGCGTCGTTCGACCGAAATAACAAATAGGTTTATTAGGTTAACGGTTAAACGGCAGCCTGTTACAATATATATATATATGTGTGTGTGTGTGTGTGTGTGTGTGTGTGTGTGTGTGTGTGTGTATATACGTATACGGCTTACGTGAAGCAAAATTCAAGCATAATTACTTATTGTAAGAACAAGAGTTATTATAAGGACCAGTTGAGATAAATGATTATACCTTTGGACAAATATTCTAACAACATATACATATATATAGCAGTATAAATTCAAGGACAAGTCCATTAATACATATATACATATAGCCATATAATTGACGCCAATTAATAATAACAAATAAACATTTAACAAGTAAGTAACCCGAGGTTTATTATTATAAAACTGTCTTCTTCTTACTTATTTCTCTATAATAACACAGGCCCACAAAAAAAAATGAACTTGGATGTCCATCGACAAAACCCATGTACTCCTACGTATTTTTGCGCGCTGAGTCCGAATCTGGCATTCGTTTAACCTCAGCACGTCGGGTTCAAGGGCATTTGAAGGTCACATTGCAGAAATCAGCAATAACTAATACAAGACATCTGTCTGTTAAGTTTTTGGGGTCGCTGAGTTTAAATCCGGTATTTGTTTTTCTCCATGAGGTAAGTTTGAAGGTTAGTTCAAGGTCAAAGCTGTTTACTCTAGGAAAAATGAATTTTTGACTGCAGATTCTGAAAGAGCGGGAAATTTTACGTCCAGATACATATTCAATTTTTTTTAATATAACCCTCAAGGTCATGTGAAGGTCACTTAATCTTGTTGGATGGAGGATTCGTATGACAATAAGATAATGGAATTTCATGGAGCAAACTACCATGTCGTTATGTTTTCAGGGTTGCCGAATCCAAATCCGCGGTGTTCGTTTGTCTCCATCAGGCCGCATTGAAGGTCGTTTAAAGGTCAAATCCTCGACAATTAGTGAAATCGAGTCAAGTTATCATTCTAACATATTTTTTGAGCATCTGAACCCAAATATAAAGACCGCTTAATACCTCAGGGTCAAAATCAAGGTCATCCCAAGGTCAAATATACATTTTTTTTATTAAAAAAAGGAAATTTTGACCACAGTTGCATGAAAAATAGAAAATTTCACATATTAGTGAATTATGTGCCATAAATTAGTATTTGAGAAAAATACTGAAGCTGACTAATCGTCGCATGACAAACAGCCACATATGGAGACATGGGTATCATGTATTACAAAACTCATGATTTTCTTTTTTTTCTTGTTCTTTTATCTTCGAATGATCTATGTAGGGGATTCCGCTTTCGTTTCTTTCCGTCGATAATATGTTCTCTTTTCAATGTCCAACAAAAGTCCGCTATCATATTTATGTCCCACCGGCCCTGGTATCGCTGTTCCATTACTTTAATATCTTGGTGAAACCGTTCCCCTTGTTCTTCGCTATAATCTCCAAGATTTTGTGGAAAGTAGTCTAAGTGTGAATGAAGAAAGTGTAGCTTGTAATTCATCAAGCAACCCAAACTATTGTAATTTTTAAGTAAGTCTTCAACTAGTTTTTTGTAGTTCTCGCTCTTGTGATTCCCTAAGAAATTTTCCACTACATCCTTGAAGCTAATCCATGCTGCTTTCTCTTTATCGTCCATCTTGTCTATGAATGCTTCATTCTTTAACAATGTGCGGATTTGGGGACCGTCAAATATACCTTCTTTCAATTTAGCGTCAGATACTCTTGGAAATTTTGTTCCCAGGTACGAGAAACATAGCCCTTCTTTATTCAACGCTTTAACGAATTGTTTTATTAAACCAAGTTTAATATGGAGAGGAGGAAGAAGGACCTTGGATGGCTCTACTAATGGTTTGTTAATGATGTTATCCTTACGGGGTTCGAACGTTGATCTATCAGGCCATTCTGCTTTTACATAATGATTCTTACGATCCCTGCTATCCCACATACATAAGAAACATGGAAACTTTGTGAAGCCTGATTGCTGACCTAGCATGATGGTAAGAATCTTGAGATCACCACAGATTAGCCAGTTGTGTTTCTTGTACTGTATTTTATTTAATACCAACTCAACATTTTTGTAATCTTCTTTTAGGGTAACCGAATGGGCCAGAGGTATTGCAGAATATTTATTAGTGTTATGTAATAATACAGCCTTCAGGCTTCGCTTAGAAGAATCCAGAAATAATCTCCATTCCTCAGATTTATAAACATCCTTCTTAAATTCGTTCATCAGATCCTTAACATTGTTGCAAAATACGAGATCATTCTCCGTAGAGAAATATTTTCTGAAGTCTTTTTCTCTATTCCGATAGTAAGAACATTTAGTACCTTTCGCCAGTAAATTTTTTTCCTTCAACCTCGAAGCAAGCAACTCTGCTCCCTCCTTTGATAAGCCTAACTCTCTAACTAGGTCATTAAGTTCTTTCTGATCAAATTCTCCTTTTATCTTTGTTTGTGATCCAGATGGCACATACTCGTCATTACTCTCGTCCGTTTCTTCTCTTTCACTCTCGGCCTCATCAGAACTAGAAATCTCTAATTCAGTAAGTGCAGAAGAAAGGTCACTTTCTACATCTGTATCTCTTTCTTCTGTTGGAGCTATAAACGGCTTGATTACACTAGACACACTCGCGTATACAATTTTGTGGACATTAGATGAGTTAAAACCTATAGTTTTTGTCATACAAAAATAACAATTCTCTACATTTTCTGGCTCACTCCAAACCATAGGTTTGACAAATTTTAATGGAGTTTTGTCCTTTTTGTACCGGCTAAACATCAGCCTACAGCTATTGCATATCAATTGTGGCAGCCAATCTTGCTCACCATCAGTGACTTTACAACCGAAACACTCATCGTATATGATTCGTCGCGGAACGACTAAGCTATCATGCCTTAGGTGGCATGACGCCTTTATCTTTTTCTGAACCTTTTGATTTTTACACACTTGCTGTTAATGATTGAAGTGAAGGGAGGTGGTGAAATTATTTACACTTGCTTAATGGGAAAAAGCCTTTGGCATAAAAAACCCATGATTTATTGCAATATTAACAACACTGAACTGACACAAAGAGTAAATTACGCATAAAAATGAAGCTTCCGCACTTGAAAAAATAACAAAGGAAAGAAAGAAAGAAAGAGTACGAATGTCGCAAATGATGTCGCGTGCTCACACACACACACACACTGCACACTGAAGAATGATATGTTGCGGTCGAGAGAAATCTCAGACACGCAACTTTGATTTGAAGGTGTACTCAATACACCTAAAATGAATTAAATGTTTGATTAGCGCCTCAAACACCGAACGGCTAATGAGTATGAAGCCACGTGGTGACTTATTGATTTAAGCTTAACTGAGTTATTGATTTAAGATGAACTGACTTATTGATTTAAAATTAACTATTAAAACTAACACTGATTAAAGGTGCGCAATACGTTGTTTTGCGTCTTAACTATTCTGATAAGGGGCGCGAAGGCAACACTATGAGCTTGCTTTAGAAAAAACTAACCGCTTACTGAGCACGTGTTCGCGAGCTGGAAGCCGGAACAGTGCCCTCTCTCTCGCTACACCGCCTGGCAACCGCGCGGCGAGCAGCAATTAGCCGCGTCCGGCATGTGCTGCCGCCACGAGGCGCCGCAATCACTCTCATACACTCATACAAATAAAATATTGACGTGTGACGACGGAACATACTCCCGGCCCACGCTGCGGAATACAGATATTGGATACGAAATGAAGCAGATTGCGAAGCAATACAAAGAAAATTGGAGCAATGGCGCTCAGAACGAAACCTCAGACTCTCTTCAGCTCCATCCGGGAGCATCGCGTCGCAGAAGCCACCCTCTCGGCGTGACCTCTGAGCTTCTGGCTGTGAAATTTCCGATTTCACCATTCTCGGACCAGGCTTAGTAACTGTACTCTCAGACACGACATGGTTCGACTCTTTTGGGGTAAACCACAGCGCACACATCTGGGGCAATAATGTCAATACGTAGGAAGAGAGCCTGGAGGCTCCGACAAAGCGCATCGCTCCCTAACATCAACGATTATGACTAAAATAAAACGCACATAATGAAATTGGTTTTACCTAACAACAATCTTTGGAAAGGCTTGACTGAGTATCGACTAGACAAGTTTTTCAAACGGGACAGTTTCCTCTGGAGGGACTGTCTTGTTGATCACGCATAGTTTTTTAATTCTAATTCTATCACAGATAGAACGCAATGAGACTTAACCTACGAATACAATCTTAAATTTACGTAGAGTTTATAATGGGAAGCACACACAAACGTGTGACATTCCGCTTGAACACGCCTTTTACAGTCTTGACTGAAGCAACTCTCACGACGCCGTCGCTACCAGGATGCACCTCGATGATGACACCCAGTGGCCATTGTCCGCTTGGGACGTTGCCTTCAATGAGTAAGACCACCATACCTGGAGCTAACTCGGAATCACTCTTAGTCCATTTCTGGCGAACTTGAAGTTCATGAAGGTATTCTTTACGCCATTTCTCCCAGAAGTTCTGTCTAGCTTTGGTCAAAAACTGGTAGGTAGACAATCGATTTTCTGAAACTGACGAAAGTGATTGTTCAGGCAACATGTTAAAAGGGCGACCAATTAATACATGCGCTGGTGTTAAAACTAGAGGGTCGTTGGGATCGGCCGAAAGAGCGTATAATGGTCGCGAATTCAGTATCGCTTCAATTTCGATAAGAAGAGTGTTAAATTGCTCATATGTGAGCTGCTTATCTAGAATGCGTTTTAAGTGATGTTTGAAGCTCTTTACGGCCGCTTCCCACAGACCTCCAAAGTGAGGTGAAAGAGGCGGATTGAAGTGCCATTCTATTCTTTTAGAGATTGCGTAATTGTTAATTTCCGCGCGAAACGCCTCTGTATCAAAGAGTCTATAAATTTTAGTCAACTCATTGTTTGCCCCGACAAAATTGGTTCCATTATCGGAATAGACATGCGAAGGTACCCCTTTCCGAGCGATGAATCTACGAAACGCAGCTAAGAAACCTTCTGTTGACAAATCGATAGCCAACTCGACGTGGACGGCCTTTGAAGCTAAGCATATAAAAACACAACCGTAAGTTTTGATAAACGACCTATTTCTATGAGCCTTCTCTTTAATGTTGAACGGTCCGAAAAAATCTACACCTGTGTGACTGAATGCGAAAGATTCACAGACCCGTGGGGCAGGTAGATCTGCCATTTTGGCGTGGCCAATGTGCGGTCTTTGGCGTATACATTTGACGCACCGTTGAATTACCTTCCTTATCTGCGATTTTCCATTTAAAATAAAAAATTTCAGACGAATCGAATAAAGAGTGCAATGAATTCCGGCGTGCAAATTGCCTTCATGATGATGATGAATGACCATTTCAGTCACAGGATGTTTCTGAGGCAAGAGTATCGGGTGTTGTTGCCCGTAAGGAAGTTTAGAATTCTTGAGGCGACTGCCTACGCGAATTAAGTTATCGCTAATGAACGGACACAACCTGTCAAAACATGTACCCTTTTTTACACCGTTAGATGATTTAGATAAACGATCATACTCTACAGAGAAACCTTCCCTTTGAACTAGCTCCAAAATCTTCCTTTCGGATTCCTTGATTTCAGATGGAGTCAGCGGACGTATTCGCTTGCTAATTTCTAGTGTTCGCATTGAATCATGTTGAATTTCCCAATTCCTTTGAGCTGGTTCGCCTGTACACCGAGAGCCCTTTCTCCAACGCGAAGCGTATGCTAGTACTCTAACGAAACGTTCACAACAAGAGAATTGTGAGTAAACTTCGGAAAACGAAGATGGTTTGGTAGCGACCAAACACACTCCCCCCTTTAAACCTGGGACTTCTCGTGGCACCGAGATCACGACTGGAGGCCAGTCAACCCTATCTCTAGCGAGCCATGGTGGTCCAGATTTCCACAGAGAATTCTTGATGAATTCAGACGGTAACTGACCTCGTGACAGAGAATCAGCTGGATTGTCTTCAGAACGAATATGTAACCACTCGACCTGGTCCCTTACTGCCTGAATATTGGATACTCGGTTAGCTTCGAATGTTTTTAATTGTTGAGGCTCCTTTTTTAACCAACAGAGAACAATTGAAGAATCAGAATATAGAATCACTTGATGAACAGGGATTTGCAATTGAGATCGGACCTGAACGTATAAATCCTTGAGGATCGACGCGGCGCATAACTCTAACCGAGGAATAGTTAACCCGCTTAATGGCGCTACTCTAGACTTGCTACAAAGAAGCCTGACCAAAACGTTTTTCTGCGCGTCGATGGACTTGACAAATAGACAGGCACCGTACCCAAGACGTGAAGCGTCACAAAACCCGTGTATTTCGACGCGCAATGCGTCTGGAAGAACTATTTTGCGATCAAAATTGAGACTTTCTACCAAGGATAACTCGCTGAATAAAGCTCGCCATTTCGTTAGAGTCTGTTGAGAGATGGATTCGTCCCAATCGACCTTTGATTTCCAACAATCCTGAATCAGAAATTTTGCGAACATTGTAATGGGTCCTAACAGCCCAAGTGGGTCGAAAATTTTTGCAACAGCTGAGAGAAGAGTTCTCTTAGTCACCTTAAGCTGAGAATCAATTTGACCGATGCAATACTGAAAAGTATCAGCCCTCGAATCCCAAACGACTCCTAAGGTTTTCTGCAAGAGAGCCTCTTTGACCACATGGTCAAGATCGAGGACTTCCTCGTTGATAGAAGTTAACACTTCGAGACTATTTGATGCCCATTTTCGAATGATGAAACCGCCACGTTGAAGAAGAGCCGTCATCTCTTCACGAATCGCGCTGATCTCTTCTGAAGTATCTGCCCCCGCTAAAAAATCATCTACGTAGAAATTCTTGAGCAGAAGCTTACTTGCTCGAGGAAAATTCAACGCTTCGTCTATCGCTAGTTGTTGAAGAGTACGAATTGCTAGAAAAGGAGCTGCTGCTACTCCAAAAGTAACTACTGTTAAGAGAAAAACGCAAATCTTACCCTGATGATACCAAAAGAATTTTTGATATTTGCGATCGTCTGGATGAATCCACACTTGACGATACATCTTTTCGATGTCCCCCGTGATAACGTAAGAATGTGTACGAAACTGAAGTAATTGCTGGAATACAGTGTCCTGAATCGTGGGGCCTACCATAAGGATGTCATTCAAGGATACGCCGGTCGAGGTTTTTGCCGACGCGTCGTAAACCGGTCGAACCTTTGTCGTCTCACTAGACTCCTTAATCACAGCATGATGGGGAAGATAATAACCGTCATTGTCATCATCTTCACACAGAACTGCGTGACCTAACGAAACCATTTCGCTCATGACCTTGGAGTACTCCCTTTCTAAAGCCGAATTCATCCTAAACTTCTTTTCGAGATTGTAAAAGCGACGCAGAGCCTGTTGTTTGGATTCCCCGAGCGTGTGTTTATTCTCCTTAAACGGCAAACGGACAATGTATCTACCTGAAGGGTCTCGGGTGGTATTTTCGACATAATGCCGCTCGCATGCAAGTTCTTCATGAGATTTCACTGACTCGTGGTTTACCTCCTCAAGATGCCAAAAGCGCTCGACCATTCGCGTAAGTGAAAGCGAATTGCAGATTCCTTTATCGGAAGGACACGAATTATTTGTTCCTCCGGCTACAACCCACCCTAAAACGGTTTTTTGTAGAGTGAGTACTGATTCTTCATGTTGAAGCCTTATTTGTCCAACGCTTAAAATCGAAAAAGTTGTTCTTGAAGCTAACAGCATTTGTATGGACTTGGGAAGATGAAACTGGGGATCGGCTAACCGAATGTCCTGTGGGATCTCAAAATCTTCGCGCGGAAAAGCCTCGCTCGGCACTGTATCAGCGATATTAGGAACGACTAAGAAATTCAAATCAAACTGGAAGTTATTTTGTTTTGAACGACAATTTACTTTAACTTGATGCTTGGAGGCAGTATTCAGACTGTTAACTGCTCCAATGTTTAATGAACACGAAAGCTTAGGTAGATTTAAGAAATTTGCAAAATTTTCTGTAATTAGATTGACTGTGGACCCGGAATCTAACAAGGCACGAGCTAGGACAAATTTTCCCGCGCGATTTTTGACGTCGATCAATGCCGTGGGCAATACTTGAGAATCTAGTGAGAAAGCTACTGATGTATATGCTGGGTAAGCTAGTCATGCAGTCTTGGAAGTCGACTGTTCATCCTTTCCAGAGTTCGCACCCTCTTTGTCTTCAAAATGCAACAATGTGTGATGTGGTTTGTTGCAAATTTTGCACCGCCCGGAATTGGGGCAAGGGGATTGATGATTCCAGAGACAATTCCGACAAATGGATTTTGACTTTGCGAATTCAAATCGCTTAATAGGGTCAAGTTTGAGAAATTCTGGACATCTAAAAAGTCGATGACTACCCTTGCAGCCTGGACACGATGGCCTTTTATCAGCTGCTGTTGAGGAATAACTAGGCGCCTTATTAGCGAAAGGAGATTTTGCCGACTCAGTTGCCCGCGACGCAGAAGTGACGAACGACCTAGCCGATTTACTGCGCTTGCTTACCTGCTGCTGCGCGCCGTCGCTGGCCCTTTTCCTGTTATCACTCTCTCCGGCATCGCGCTCTATTGAACGAAGTCTAAAGATCGTATTAGCACTAAAGTCATAAAATTCCTGTAGGGTAGGATACCTATTCATATTGAGCGTTTCCTGCCACTTGGAATTGATAAATTTCGGTAAACGCCTCTCCAAATACCGAACAACCGCCTCCTCTCCGATGACGACGTCAAGACGCTCCAACATAAACAAATGTTGCTTAGTGAGATCAACGAGTGAAGACAAAGAAGATGCGACGTTTTTTGGATCTACGAACGGGAGGTCATAAAATTCATCTAAATGTTTAGTGATCAACACGAGCTTTGAATCATACGCGTCAAGCAGCGTTTGCCACGCTTTCGGATAATTTTCTTCGCTAGGAGTAAAAATTTTAAGTTTTAATTTGGCCTCGCCCTTGAGTGCTTGCTCAAGGCGGCTATGTTTAATCAAGTTGCTATAATCTGCTCGCGAATGTATAAGCGCGACAAATTTATTCTTAAACGCAATCCATTCCTTTGGATCACCATCGAATGTTGGAATTTCGACCGCCGGCAATTTCGGATAATAATGCCGATCAGTCATTGAAGCATTTAACGTAGAGTTCGCGAGAGGCGGGAGCTGTTCGCGAGGTTGGATTTCCGTAGCCCTTGTGGCTACGTCATAGTAACTCGTTTCAGTCGTTTCAAATTCCGGGACTAAAGGATTTTCCGGATCTAATGCAGACAGCTCTTCAAATTGTTCAAAATAATCCTGAAAAAGGGCTGACAGGTTCGACAACCTCAATTTCGCATTAATCGGATTTACCGCTGTACCTTCGAGATAAGTACTTAAACTTTGAATAAGGGTCTTGAACGTTTTCATCTTTTGTTCAAGATATTTAATTCGATCGCACATCTCTGCCATGTTGATAAATGAAATAAAAGAATTGTATTTCGCAAAACTAATGACTTATCTTATTATTCCTTTTCTGTAGCGGTGGCCAACTGGGTGATGAGGTCATCCAAATGGCTAGCGACGGTGTAGCTTGGCGTCTGCAGGTTGATGACGTCGCTACGTCAACTTGATACGCTAAGAATTCCGGCGCGCTCGCCGCACTGATTCTCTTGGCGCGCTCGCCGATTTCCTTTGTCTCAAAATTCACTCACACGCGCGCACGCGACATCACCCATGAACATAAGCCGAATTGAAAAAAGTGAGATTTTCAAACCTCACAGGAGGCACCAAAAATGATTCGTCGCGGAACGACTAAGCTATCATGCCTTAGGTGGCATGACGCCTTTATCTTTTTCTGAACCTTTTGATTTTTACACACTTGCTGTTAATGATTGAAGTGAAGGGAGGTGGTGAAATTATTTACACTTGCTTAATGGGAAAAAGCCTTTGGCATAAAAAACCCATGATTTATTGCATTATTAACAACACTGAACTGACACAAAGAGTAAATTACGCATAAAAATGAAGCTTCCGCACTTGAAAAAATAACAAAGGAAAGAAAGAAAGAAAGAGTACGAATGTCGCAAATGATGTCGCGTGCTCACACACACACACACACTGCACACTGAAGAATGATATGTTGCGGTCGAGAGAAATCTCAGACACGCAACTTTGATTTGAAGGTGTACTCAATACACCTAAAATGAATTAAATGTTTGATTAGCGCCTCAAACACCGAACGGCTAATGAGTATGAAGCCACGTGGTGACTTATTGATTTAAGCTTAACTGAGTTATTGATTTAAGATGAACTGACTTATTGATTTAAAATTAACTATTAAAACTAGGAAAGGTGCGCAATACGTTGTTTTGCGTCTTAACTATTCTGATAAGGGGCGCGAAGGCAACACTATGAGCTTGCTTTAGAAAAAACTAACCGCTTACTGAGCACGTGTTCGCGAGCTGGAAGCCGGAACAGTGCCCTTTCTCTCGCTACACCGCCTGGCAACCGCGCGGCGAGCAGCAATTAGCCGCGTCCGGTATGTGCTGCCGCCACGAGGCGCCGCAATCACTCTCATACACTCATACAAATAAAATATTGACGTGTGACGACGGAACAGTATACTAGTTTCAAATCATCTGTGAATTTGCGAAGATCCGACTTTTTCAAAAAGTATTTGCCACACACATAGCAAAAGGAATTCACTTTTTGCTTACAACTATGAGATTTAGAGCGTATTCTTGTATTGTTGTACTCTACAGAGACCAAGTTTCCAACCACTGTAGAGCTGCAGTCGCATGATGACGACGATTGCGGACCTGCTTGCTCATCCTGACCAATCGCCGATACTGGGCATCCGAAACCCTGCATCGTACCTCTTCGTGTGCCAACCATGACGGCATCATGCCTTCACCCCAGGGTTTTGCCGGAAAACAAAAAGCCAAAAAAAAAGCCGTTTTCCGCCGTCACCACGTGGAGGTACCCTGGGTTGCGGCACACGATTATTTCGGGAGTGTGATCAAAAAAATAAGTAACGATCACAGCTAGATGTAAGATTTTCCATTTTCTCTGAATCTGTGGTCAAAATTTTCTTTTTTTAATGAAAAAATGTATATTTGACCTTGGGATGACCTTGATTTTGACCCTGAGGTATTAAGCGGTCTTTATATTTGGGTTCAGATGCTCAAAAAATATGTTAGAATGATAACTTGACTCGATTTCACTAATTGTCGAGGATTTGACCTTCAAACGACCTTCAATGCGGCCTGATGGAGACAAACGAACACCGCGGATTTGGATTCGGCGACCCTGAAAACATAACGACATGGTAGTTTGCCCCATGAAATTCCATTATCTTATTGTCATACGAATCCTCCATCCAACAAGATTAAGTGACCTTCACATGACCTTGAGGGTTATATTAAAAAAAATTGAATATGTATCTGGACGTAAAATTTCCCGCTCTTTCAGAATCTGCAGTCAAAAATTCATTTTTCCTAGAGTAAACAGCTTTGACCTTGAACTAACCTTCAAACTTACCTCATAGAGAAAAACAAATACCGGATTTAAACTCAGCGACCCCAAAAACTTAACAGACAGATGTCTTGTATTAGTTATTGCTGATTTCTGCAATGTGACCTTCAAATGCCCTTGAACCCGACGTGCTGAGGTTAAACGAATGCCAGATTCGGACTCAGCGCGCAAAAATACGTAGGAGTACATGGGTTTTGTCGATGGACATCCAAGTTCATTTTTTTTTGTGGGCCTGTGTAATAATTATTCTTGGAGTAATCACCATTTGGCAAATTCCACGTATTTATTTTGTGTATAACTATATATATATATATATATATATATATATATATATATTGTAACGAGTAGGCTCGTTAAGGGGTAGATGAGCGAGATTTAAAACAGCGCGCCATGCGCAATAGACCCGCGCAGTGATAAAGAGAGAGAGAGATAGCTAGGACGCGCCGATTCGGGAGAGTACACGTGAGACCGGCAAGCGAGCAGCACGTGTTCGAGGATCCTTTGTAGATTTAACTTTTTGGGTACGGAGAATCGAGTGGAATAGTGTGATCGTTGAGTGAGATTGAGCAATTGTGCAGAAGGAATACTGTGGTCGGGATCGACATCCTGCTACGATCAGCATACGGGGGCGACCGAACCGAAAGTTACCAGCAGAGCGAGGAGTCTCGACTAGTCGCCCACAACATCAGCCCGGAGACCTCCCCGATCTCGACAGTATTGGGCGACGATCTTAGCACGACTAGATTCGGGTTACAGGGATAAGCTATCTACGGCTGCGACCGACCGAGTAAGTCCCCCTCTGTTGTAACGTGATTGCGAGTGCGAGTCCTATTAAGCGAGCGTATACGAACTGCGCCGACCGCGCGCCACTTGAAAATGTATCACCTGTCTCTCTCTCACGCGTACGTTAAGTAGACCGTGCGCCGTGAACCTCTCGGTCGATGCGGAATGCGCGCGAGTGTGTAAACAAAATAATCGAATAAAATCCGTTCTGGTTGTACTGAGTAAGACGGCGAGATTATTCGATTACACCAAATCTTTCTCTGCGTTCCCTTCTCCTTCGCAACGTTTTCGGAGAACCTGCAACCGTCGCTCTTCTTCGTTTTCCCGTGCTTTCGCGCTCGTTTTCAGGTTGAGCCGCCGGCACGGAGCTAGCCGAAAAGAAGGAAACAACGACGACATAGATATTTTGTTAACGGACAGTGATTCGCTTACGAAGAAATCAACTACCGTTACCCAACTAAACGAAAACAAAGCATAAGGAAAAGGACGAACCCCGACAAGATAATTGATAAGGCGCGCGTGACAAAAATTCCGAGAGAGAGAGACTCGCGCTAAATTAAATAAATAGTGTGTGTGTGTGTAGAAAGAAACACCACGAGGTTTCTGAGCAATAGAATTTGTCGAGCGTACTCTGGCCACGAAATATACACATTATATAAACAGACCTTTGTAAGACCGAGAGTGTTTACTAACCCAGACAAAATTTCGAGGCCAGAGAACCGTACAGTGAGCACGAAAAGTGAGCGCGCAGACTTGTACCGCGACAACGCGCTCAAATAACACCGCCGCCGTGACGTCATAAGCCGCGAAGAGAGAGAGCGAGCAAAACACAGCGGCAACAGGCTAACTGCACAACATAAAGCAGCGAGCAATACCCAGACAAATACATTTGTATTTAATAGGAAATAGTGATTATTATTTATTAATTAAGGGATAAGATTTAATAATATTACAATTAATTACTTAAAATCTAATTAATCCCCTTCGAAACTAAACCAAATCGAATTAAGCACGCTCTCTCGGCAAAAACATCACGGCGCGAGAAAATTGTTCGCTTCAATAAAAATTCCTTTTCAAAATATTCAATTTTCATTAAAAATTACTGATAGAAAATTTGAAAATAGAAAACTGCTCACTGTACGACGACAAAATTTATATAATTAATTACGCCAATAAAAACTAACAAATTTTCACCTACAAACAGTAAGTGAAAATTAATAGGTAGGATAATTGTAAAATCAGCGTAGAAAAGGCAAACCAAGAAACCTCATGGTGAATACCACCGTAATAATAAAGAAAAAAAAAAAAAGTTTAATTAACCTAACAGATTAACATTTTTTTTCTCTTACTTCGGATAAAATTTTTTTTTGTGTTATTTCGGCAAATAATACCGAAAATTAAAAAGATAAAAGTACACACACACACACACAACAAACATCACAAGATCTAACTCAGCGCACACCCACCGACAATATTAGATAGAAGAACGTCAAACATGAAGGACATGGACGACACAGAAACAGAAATAGAGGAGTGGATAGACAACCTAGATGACGATCGACTACATCAGACTCTGGCAACTTTAGAATTAAGAAGCGACGGTGAAAAAACAACCAGGGCAAAGAGACTACAGCGTTGGTTAATGGGCGACTACACATCGGCTGACTTCGATGAAACGACAGCCCAAGAAGTCGCCCAAGACCTGATTCGAAGAAATGAATTGAGATACGCCTACATCTCCAAGGAATGCAAAACACTGGAAGACACAGGAGCAACCGATCGCGAAAACCACCCTCTATATAGGCTACTCACCGATGATGAGATTGCAATCAAGCTCAATCTATCAACGAGCCAATCCCTATCAAAAGGGGCAGAAAGGATCTCAAGAAGCGAGGAGCACGAAGAAGACCAAGCTTCGATAGCGTCAGACACGGAGATGCCCACGCTATATAATGAAAAGGGCAAGCCCGTTACAATCCCCGCAGAGATCAAGGAAGTTATGCACGAATGGATAAATCGACTTAAAAGAGTCGAAAAGGCTATGGAAAGAGAGCGCCAGTACGTGTTATCAATAGCACAAATGGCACAAACTATATGCGCTACCCAGGCCACGAAAACATCAAGGATGACTAGGGCTCTGCAAAGGATAGGCA